CAACCATATGATTTAATTGTGTATGTAGTGTTATAATAGTTTAATTTGAAAGTTCAAGAATAACTAACTAAGAGGAGAGTGAATTGGTTTTCAAAACTTTTTGAAAATTAATTCGAGTTTTAAATCAATGTAATAGCAAATGAAATAACTAAAAAAATGCGCACAAATACAAAATCAAATAAGAACAAGTAATGAGCACAATATAGTAACGATAAATAATAGGGAGAAAAGATGTAGATGATATAATTGTGGATGCTTGATTCAACGCAATGATTTACGTTCTCTGTTACCAAGCTCTTCGACATGAGCAATATCCTTTTACTAAATTAATTGACTTATAGTGCAATCCATCTCTTTACAACACTTTCAGGGATTTTCAAACAAGGAGCACTAATGCTTAAAAAACGTTGAACTTTACGGAACCCAAGTACGACCCACAATAAAAAAAAAAGAATAAATTTTACAATTGAAATCTTCTCATATTAAATTTTATAGTCAAAATTAAGTATCAAGAGAGAAGTAGGCTAATGCTTTAATGGATAGCAACAAATATAGCTTAAATGTTTGAGTAGAAAAATTTTTGCGAGAGTAATTTTCAATAATTTGATTAACTCGAAGTTTTTTAAGAAATAAATGATTTGATCTTTTGAAAAATGAAAATTAAAGTAATTGTGATCAATAATTCTTCACTTCAACCCTTCTTAAAAGTTATTGGTGAATGAAAAGTGATGTCGTATTTATAGCAGTGAAATCTCCAGAACTTCTGCTGATCCGAATGAGTCATCCAGATGTTTGGGGTTTGAACCGATCAATGTAGAAGCAGCCATTATGCGTCAGATTAAGAACGGTTGAATTTTTTATCGTTAGGGCATCCGAACAGATGGACAAAATGTTCTTGGACGTTTTCTTTTGTGATAATTTTAATCAATAAAGGTTTTTGAAAGACTTTCAAGTGAAAAGCTCTACATTTTTTACTAGGAGATAAGTCTTTCAAGCTCATATAAATTTTGTAGCTGCTGAGGTGCTTTGTTGGATCACCCCTCCCATCATACTTTGGGATTTTGGGTGTCACGATGTGGCTTAGGACCGGGGCATTTCTTAGACCTTGAGAGAATGAAAGTTGTCATGGTCATTAAAGTCGTAAGACTTTTGCAACTCATCCGAATTTTCCTCCTCTCTGAACTGAGAAGGTGATTGGGATGGGCCTGCCTAATTTTTGGCCTGTTTTACCCTCATCTGATGCCTATTCCTAGGCGGGAAATTTTGGGACAAATTTTCTTGGGTATTGCGTTATTTCTTTCGAACTGAGGCGGTACCTGCTCCTATTTCTAGGTGTAGAAGGTGAAACTTGCCTGTTTCTAGGCCATCCAAGGCTTAACCTATCAAAGATACATATGGGCCTCTGAGGCATATTTTTTTGTAATTGGGAGGAAAGCTGAATGGAGCCTCGTTGGGCTGGTTAGTGAATTACTTAAGAGGAAATATCGACCCCCACTTTCCTCTCTTGAGGAGCCTTCGCATATTGCTGGTATTAAGCCATTTGGCTTTGAACCTCTTCTTCATCGTGATATTAGTCTCCTTGTGGGACAAAATGAGAAATGTGTGGAAAAGTATTTTCTTGGGCTGCATATGGGGGGATTGGAGCTCCGGCTCTACATGTTTCTGCTGTTGGGTAATATCCCTTATGTTTGTGGGCATGGTAGCCACCTCCCTAGTGAGCTTAACAGCTAGTTTGGATCCACCTCTTGACCCACCTCTTCAATATTGTTGACGAAATCGAAGGCAGGTTCCAAGAGCGGCGTGTGAGGGCTCCCCTTCTTTAAGGTATTCCCTAGCCCGCCGAGGCCCTGGGTCTTCATTATCTGAACTCATGTTAATGCCCTTTCTTCAAAGGTAACTTTCTTTTCATGGCGAATGTTTCTCAAGTGTTCTTTTCTCACGAACATCAAAGGCAGAAAACTTTACCTTAAATATATTTTTGATCATCTTTTTCCACGGTTTTCTCGTGGTTGAATGTGTGGTTTTTCCACAGAGAACGTCAATTTGTTGACGTTGCATTTTGTAGGAATGATGTGGATAACGAAGCCGGGTCCACTCACGTCAAAGCTTTATTATATTCCTTTGATATTTTTTTATGCTTTATTAAGTCTTGATTGTTTTGCAATATATATGTTAACTTTTGTGCTTTGTTTAGCATTAATATTGTGTCTTAATTTAGCTAACTTAATATTTGTATTATTTATCTCAATTGATACATCTCATTTTCTTAACTGTTTTCATGCACTTTTACACTTGGTATTGTGTTGTTGATTTCATGAAACATGTTTGATAAGAAAAAAGATACAATTGAGTCTTGGATAGTTAGGAATTGTTTTTCTCTTATTTTGTATTTGTGATATTTAATTTTGTCATGGACTACCAAAAGGGGGAGTTCGTTAGGTTTCAATTTAGAATGGTGAATTAAGTGTCCAAAATGATAAGTAATTGAGTTGTATATAAGAGTAAAGTGTTCGAGGATTGTAGAATACTAAATGGAGTCAAAGACAATTCAAGAAGATCAAGAAATGAGATCCGTCACTCCCTACACGACAAGCAACATTCGAGTGCTCAAAACAGCAAGATTGACGCTTGCTGGCCGCCAGGCTAGTCTTGACCAGCAATGGGTTTTAGCCTAACCCCGTTTCGCGATTTTTGTACAGTTTTTCTATCATATTTGATCCCAGACACTTCAAATTATAAGTAGTCAAACCATACAACATCCTAAAGGGTAGTTGATCATTATTTGATGCTATTAAACATATTTTGAAGATCAAACAATTATTTTTAATAATCAATATATAGATTCAATTCGACATTCAAATCCTAAAATTCTCAAAATACTAAATCGACCATTTCTGTTATATATGTCAAAGTTTTGAAGATCCAAGAAGTGATTAGATTTTCGATTTATGAAGAGCGAGCTCATTCTTGGTGATTCATGAAGATAAAAGATTCCGGAGTTCTAGAGCTGGTACTGGAGTGTACAACCAAATGAGTTCTTTGATTATTACAGGTTGAAGGATAGACTCTACTAAAATTTAGTTGTGCTTGGACCAATACTATTGATCTTTTATAGGGATTATTTACTAGCAAATTTCCCAGGACATTTTTACTCTTTAAGAGTTCTTCTAGGCATTTTCCTTCGTAAACAAAGTAAATGGTGTCGTTCACAAATTTTTCTAAAGGTGCAGAATTTATTTAACCGAATTAATACAGGTGAGACAAATATCTAAGTTTAGAGTTATTTGATTTAATTCATCTGGATATATTTAATTGTGACTTGTTGAAATTATTAACTTGGTAAATTAAAATTCTGCATATTACACCTATTCTTTCCCCCCTCTAAGCATTAAGTTGGGTCGAACTTTGTTATTCTAGCATTGGAGTTATAGTAATTTTCAAAGATGGAGTTGATATAGTTATTAATAGGGTGTGAAAATAGATGTCTAATGAAAATTTGGTAAGAAAAATCCTTTTGATGACCAAGAGAGAGTACCCCCATAACGTCCCTGCTAGTGGTGGCAATGGGCCGAGCCGAGCCTTAATCGCACGAGCTCGCCTCGAGCTCGGGCTCGGCTCGTTGAGTTTGGGCAAGCTTGGCTCGGCCCACGAGCTTGTGGCTTGTTCGAGCTCGTGGGCCAAGCCGAGCTTGGGCTCGTGGGCTTGTCCAATTTTTTTTTTTTAAAAGAGTTTTACAAATAAATGGAATAATAGAAAACACTTTTAAAAAAAATAAAAAGTGTTAAAAAATGCAAATAATTTAACGAAAATAATTTTTCATTTATTTTTATTTATATCATATTGTAATACTTTTTATAAAGTATAAAATATTTATATAATGAAGACGAATTATTTTTTGAAATACATTTACAAAAAATATATTTTTTTGATTTTTTTTAAAGAAGATAAAATGTAAACCTTCCTCCTTTATTCGGGTTTGGGACCGGCTATATCAATTTTAAGTAGACGAAGTTAAAAATTGTACACAAACAACTTGTTGTAACGTGTACAATTTTTTAAAGAAAATTAAATTTAACGATTAAAAAATAAAGAAATTTTGATTAATATAATTAAATCAAATATTACTTACCTGACGAAATGTAATTTCAGCATATTTATCTTGTAGTCGAAAATGAGCGTCCTGTCAATCCTTCACGAATATTAACGCTTCCAAAATATCTTCTTTCAATCGGCTCCTGACATCGGTCAAAACCCATTTACTTACACTAAAAGCAGACTCCGAAGCAACAGTGCTAACCGGAGATGTCAGCAGATCTTTCGCAATTGCAGAAACAATTGACCAACGTCTTTCATACTTTCGTTAGAATTCAATTACTTCTTCTGAACTTTTTTTAATTGTTCTGTTCATTGGCATATTATGATTGAAGAAATCAATTAATTCGGCAGGCATCGCATTTTGAGTTTCAGCTGATGTTTGATGAGATGCAAATGTAGACGACATGACACTAGATGAACACATTGTAGTTGCATTATATCTAAATGTATTAATGCCTTGAAATAAATTTATTATTTCGACATCATCTTCTTCAATTTCAGCAGAAAGAGTAGGTGCAGAGGGTACCCGACTAACATTCGCACCCATTCTTTCCGTATATAAATCATATATTTCACATAATGTTTGCTCTAAATTCTTATAGGTGATAGGTGTATCAAATATTAAAACTTTATTGATTTGATTAATTACGTATTTAGTTCCTGAAATATTATATCGGGGATCCATTGCGCATGCTAAAGGAAATAACATAGGCAGTTCTTCTCAATATTTTTCAAATTTTAATTCCATAGTAATTATAATTTCATTAAAAGCAGGATCATTTTTATATTTATGGAA